GCCTTCCTCACAGGCACTTCAGCAGTGCTCAGAAAGTGACCTGACACCTCTCCAGCCACCAGAGCAATTCCAGACTCAGTACAAACCAGGACCTGAACCGTCGACCCTCCGGTTCCTTCCAGACTGAGCCGCTGTTGACTATTGTTTTAAATTGTTCCTTTTTGGATGTTGTTGTTGTTGTTTGTTTCCCTGTTTTATTTTGCCTTCCCTTTTTATTCCTACATTGTTGCAAAGGTTGTCATAACGTTCGATACGTCATCACCTTTTGATAAAACGTGTTTTAAAAAGGTTCAATCTCTGTGAGTTTGATGATGAGTGGACGTTTGTGTTTTTGGGTTCCATCACATGAATTGTTCCTGAAACTCTGTCTGTCTGCTGTACACTGCTCTATATCAGTGGTTCCCAACCTTTTGGCCTTTGAGAGCCCCCCCCCACCAATTGTATCTAAGAAAAGCTAGGCCCACTTAAGGTAATGCACAGGGGAAAATGGGGCTAAATTATTTTCAGTGATGAAATCCCAAAAGAGTAGGACTACACACTTGTTCTTACCAAAAGACCTCATCAGCTATCGAGCATGCTATCATGAATTTAGTTTATATGCACATATTTTTGACAACCTCAGAGCAGACAAACCCCCCCCCCCCATCCCTTGCCAAGACCATTACTCTATCTCACCTGCCAGAGGGGAGGATTTTAAACATCACCAACAACCACAAGTCCAGACGTTTTAGGAATCTGTACAGTTTTGCCTCAGACAAACTTCTTAAAGACTTTCTTAAACTCCCTGAAATCTGTCTTTACTGATTTTCACTGAGTTGTTATGACATCTTGCTGCAGGGACATTCAGGTGTACAGGACCCCATGACATCACTGTCGGGCGTGGAAACAGATTCAACAGATGACGGCTGCGCAATTAACGGCAAATTCCTCGTTGTTGTACTATGAGCAAGTCTAAATGCATCCTAATCAATAAGAAAATATATTCAATGTAAACATGCAACACTTTCTCACACGGCAGGTGTACCTGTTGGACGGAGGTCCGGGTATCACGGCAACGTTTGCCACCATTTTCATTCAGTCAGATGGCGCTAAAGCTACCAGCTACCATCCGGTAAAGCGGTGACAATTAAGCGGTGAAAAACGTATTTCCGATTCAGGAGTTACATGTTGCAAACTAAGGTGTTGTGTAAAACATGAGCAGGTTGCATTATTAACTGTGAGTTATACCTTACATGTACTGGTTTATATCACGCTTCATACAGGTATCACAAGGTCGAAGAAATTTGCTAATTTTTCTCATATCGTGATGGCCTACAAAGCCGCTCATTTATGACCAAGAATTTGAAATTTTCAACCAGAGATGGCGCCGGAAAAGTGATTTGAGTCTGATGTGAAGTTACAATTTAAGAAAAGTCTAAATTATATTGAAACGCTGCGGTTTAAAGTCGCATGCAACGATCGAAAGCCCCAGTACGTCCACTAAACGGAGGTGTGGTCACCTTCCGATTTTAAGAGAGAATAAGCCCCACGATCAAGCATCATACCGCTTCTGAATCTGAGATCCAAAATCCTCCAATGCATCATCAACACAGTCGACAAATAAAGAGGTTAAGTCCTCGTGCCCAGCTTGGCCTGCATGCCTCAAATCCTTGCGGTCAGTTTCCAGACAAAACAACTCCTCGTGTAAACAAAGACCTCAGACAACTCTCGGAGGCTGAGATTTTTGCACTAAATAGAAGAATATATGTGATTGATTGGGTCAAGCCATCACACACAAACCTCTTGCTTGGCGCCCGGTTGGCCTTTGTCTCGGCTTCTGGTAGACCTCTTTAAGTCAAATATCCGTCTTTGTCCAGTTCAGAGACACTGCTTCGCTCTCCGATTGAATAAAATGTCTTGCTGTTAAAATTCAAAGGTCAACTTATCCCGTAAATGCGGTCGAGTTTGTCCCCGAAAAATCTGGCAAGCTCCAAATGTCTCCGACGCGAATATCGCTCAAAAAGAGAATACCGTTTGTTTTGTTTTCGGTTTCTAACAGACGCGGAGTTTTCAGCCGTTTTAAAGAACTTTTTCCTCTCTGTTGTTTTTCGAATCCGAGGCAGAGCTCGTCCCAATCCTCCACCACCACCTCCTCCACCACGCCTGGACGTTTCTTGATTTCCTCTGGCGCTGCAGCCCTGAGCCAGACAGACAAAGGAGGGGAAGCCCTGCCAAGTCTCTCCACTGCAGGCATGGCTTTCTCCTTTCCCTCTCTGCTCCCCTCGCTCTTTCCTTTTCGTCTCTCTCGATTGTGGGCAGCGTTCCCGAGAAGCCTTGGCGATGCTCCAGCGTGTCTGAACCCCCTCCATCCATCAATCCATCTTCCCCAATCGTCTTTTTGCAGAGGACCCACGCCCTCCTAACCCCTTCCACTCCCACATCCTCCTTACCGTGCCCCAAATACAAACCCACTTTCAGCTTAATCGATGGGAATTTGATCTTAAACACTTGTATCAAATTGCACATGTCTCTGTAACAACAAACCCAAATATGACAGAGTCAACACATCCTCACACAACCTTTACACTCTCTACTTCTTCCTGTCATGTTTCTCTGTTTAATGTTAAAGGGGGTAGTGTGTGTGTGTGGGTCTCAGAGTGTGTGTGTGTCTTGTGTCTTTTGTTCGGTGCCAGTGCAGATCTATTCATCATGTGCCAAGACTCGGCGCCCTCACTTGTACTGAAGAGGGGGGCAGGTCGGTGCCAACGGCCCCCGACTGCCAACTTAGTGCTGCTGTCTGTTTACTCACACAGAGCAAAACGCTGTATCTCACAAAACACACGTTTGTTTAAGCTGTTCACATGCTACAGTGACAAGTGTCTTTAAGAACAAACAAATCAACAGACGTTATGAATTAGAAATAATTAAAGATGCTATCATATCGATGGGTAACGCCACTTTCTTTATTAGCAGTGATTCTTAATCGTATGTGGCGACTTTATTATGTCTTTATGTCTCTTTATTTTACAATATTCTTCTCTCAGAAATATTAGAAAAACAGTTAAACATGTTATTGAATATGCTTTCTCTACATGTGCACATAGGTTTCTAATATAATGTAGTAATAGCAATATTGCGACACAGATGTAAACAGTAAATGGGCTTGAGCTTGTATATCTCTTTTCTAGTCTTCTGACTACAGAAAGAGCTTTTTCACCGCAGGTCACACCTCCACATTCACACACTGATGGTAGAGGTCGCTGAGTTAAGAGTCCATCAGAAGAAACTTATCTCATACTCATACTCATACACATTCATACGCCACTGATGAAGCAGCTGGAGCAATTCGGTGTCAAGTGTCTTGTCCAACACATCAGACGTGTGGCTGCAGGAGCTGGGGATCGAACCCTCGACCTTCCGGTTGAGAGACGACCCACTCTACCAACTGAGCCACAGCCGCTCCCATGTGCACTTCATCACTTCATTAGAATACTTATCTTTCATGTGCTATGTGACTGTGTACCCTGTAAAGTGTACTTTAAAGAGTACTGGTTGGATAAACAAGTGATTTTCTTTATTTGTTGATCAGGTCAAAGTTATGCTCAAACTTCAACACAGCCACCTGTAATGATGACTGCTCTCCCCGCTCTACTACCCAGATGTAAACAAGCACAGTGAAAAGATAGCATCTCAGTACAGCAGCACTATGAGGCTGTATCTTGATCTACAAGATGGAAATATGGAAATGGACCACATTCACCACAGGCCTGTGGATTTTAACCTGCAGGGAGGATTAAGGGCTGGCGGTGCCACTGTTCCCCTGTAGACAATTTTAAAGCCCGAGCTTCAGCGTGTGGTTTGTCGAAGTAGTGTTGCCACATCTGTACGCCGCCCATCTCCACGGTTGAACGAAGAGCAAACGCAGAGCAGACGTCACTCAGATCAGGCCGTTCATTTAAATGATGGCTACCGCCCATGGCCAAATCTCAAGTCATGTGTTTGAAATGTGAATGTTATCTCACTGTGAAACGCCTGGCTGACACTTTCTGGCTCATCAGGTATTTCTGCTTGTTCTCATTATTGATGTTACTTTTTATTTTGGAGCTGCAAAGCTGGAAATCTGTAGCACGGGCGTTACATAATGTTTTCTGAATAAACAAAACGTAACAGAATATAAACCCATGTGTCCCGGACTGCACGCACGCATTGTGAAAATACAATGTTCTGATGTGTTTTTGAAAAGTTGTTTGCTGAAGTATCTTTAAAAGCAAGTACTCCATTACTTAACACAATGTTATGTAGACTGTCCTTTGTGAGGTGTCCTGTATGAAAATGTGTTTTTTGTTTGTACCTACCTTAGGACTACGGATGAGATGCACCTTTTGTGATAAACCCGGCACATTTACATGGATGCTATTTGCTGTTATCTTAATTAATGAGCTCTGTCCAAATTCAATTAATACAAAATAAATTAAATGAGCAGGAGTATATTTAATTTGAGTACTTTGTCCATCACTGACCACAATATCAGTCTGTAAATGTGGCAAAGCTTTAACTAAACTTTAACAACATACCTAGTATTATTCTATTATTGTATTTTTTCTCCCTTTATTTAACTGATTTTTAACATCTTGATATTTTTATTAATTATATTCCTGTTTCTTGAGCTGTTGTGACAAAAAAAATCCCCCCATGGGTGATCAATAAAGTTTATCTTAATCTTTAAATGTCAACATAAACAGCTCTCACAACACAGTTACTGTTACTGTACGCGCATGCGCATTGAAGTCTCCTCTGTTTTGACGATAACAGCAGGTGCTATCGGCTAAATTACTCACTTACTACTTTATTACTGAATATCTTCCCCTCGTGTAAGCAAGGCATTACCTTTAACGTGAATAAAAGACAACCACAACCCTAAATAAACACAGCAAGGTGGCACACTGGTTTAACACCTAACTTAGTGTAAGTTATGTCACTTTAAGCTAACTAACATGCTAACACAGCTGCTTCTGTCTTACCGGAGACTTTCATGGTGCCGTCGGTCCGGCCGGGCAAAGCTGTCTCTGGAGTCGGCATCTGGGCTTTAGAAGCCATGTCTCCCATTCTACTGCTCACGAAATGACGCCAAATGAATCAGATCCTGGAAGAGGAGACCATCGAGTCCACAGCCGCGGTGACACACCTCTCTGAGGGTTAGCTCAGTTAGCTTAGCTACATCACAGAGAGCTCAGCTGGCTGGTTGTGTAACGTGAAGGTGACCACGTTATTCAACTCTGACAATAAAACTCTATCACTCCCCCAAGTAGACTTTACGTAATATACACTATAAATACATAATGTTTTGTATTTGACACTCAAGCACAGATAAACTGCAAATACAAAGACTTAAAGTCCTCACATCTTGCAGGGAAATTATTTAAATTTTGTTTTTCCCAAAGTTGAATTCACATTTCATGTGCGCCGAATTTGCCGAACAGCTTCGTTATGTCTCAATCTAGTTGTTCTGTACACTTGCAAATATTTGTACCTTAAGAAATAGTGCAGTAAACAATATTTTGTGTTTTCTTTACATGGAGTTCTGTGTGTTTTTGCAAATTAAGCTGGCTTCAAGATAAGTCTGTAGGAATGGCTTTACATGAAACTATCACAGGGTTAGGAGTTTTATTTATGTTAGATTTTGAACTTGTATAGTCTGTTTGGTTTCTGGTTGACTGATACTGAGTATGAAACTTCCTTATTGCAACTCAGGCAAGACAAATAAGATTTTCAGTGACCCTTTACACCCCCCCCGACCCTAATTTAATAATACTTTATGTTTATGTTGAATGTGAATGATGTTGATTGGAGTGACGAGCCCGAGACAGATTTCTCACTTTGTGGGACAAATAACGTTCACCTTGAATCTTGAGTTTTAATCTTTTGACCCAAAAACTCAGATATAACACTCTTAACAATGATAAAGTACAAACATTTTAGGCGCTGTGCTCGCAAGAAAACACCCTTATTTACATCATTTCAACTTAATCAGGCACATAATGAAGCATGACCCCCATTAATGCCCCAAGATAATTGCTCATTTAATTTGAAAGTCATTAGATCTTGTCAAGTGTTTTATAAGTAATTTGATGCATCAAAGCACTAAAAACAACTAAAAAATGTGCAACACTGGTTAAGAAATATGATGGATGTAGTTGTGCTGTCGTGTCCTAACTCGAGATTTTGTAAACGAGTTTGAAGCAATCACAACCGACTTCCTCTTTTACAACATATGTGAGGCAAAACTCAGCTCACATGGCGTCCTGGTTCTGTTACATTTTGGTTATTTTACTCGACTCTGAAGACCTTTCTACACACCTATGCAAGTGATTCAAAGTTGGAATTGGACATTGGGACTTTAGATAGTCACAATAAGTAACATTTGACCAATGTGTATGTAAATGACTGAGCAGAATTATAAAACTATAAAAAATCTAAACATATGAGACGTCTAAAATGAACCATCATGTTTAGACATACTAACCATTCTCCTTATTAGAAGATCTCCAAATAAACAAAGCAGCTGTATATTTCAGACTCTAGTAAATCTTGTTTGGATGGTTGAAGAAAACGAGGCTCCATCAGATTGAAGCCTCTGATTATTTCATGCTCTATGGCTGGAACAGTGCAGTCAAATGAGCCCCCATCAATCTACTGGTTCCCAGTACGCTGAGCTGCGGTGGTGGTGGTGGGGGGGGATGGAGGGGGCCAGATGACAAGCCATATGGAAGAACCCGGGAGGAGCGCTGCTCATGTTGAAAAAAATATGAATTTCCGCGTGTGATTGTGTCTGTATGAAGGTGAGACTCATTAATAATTCAGGAGGTTTGTGCAGTGTTTAACATTCCTACAAAGAGGAAGAGAGGTGAAGAGGAGAACATGTTCATTATTATGAAGACTATTTCCTCCAAACTGTTTAGTGAAGATGTTAGTTTGTAAACATCACAATGCAAACATCCAACCACAGAAAGCGATTCTGCTTTAAGAAAACATTTGTTGTGTTTATTTAACCGTTTTCTACATCTGTGTGGAGCTTTGTTTTACTCAGAACTCACACCTCGATAATTTAGTGGTTTTGATTTCTTCATTAGTTGTTCAATATTCCTCTCAGCAACCCTCGGCCAAAATGGAATAAAGTTTGAATTGATGACCGTTTGACTGCTGGAGAGTGGGAGAAAAGAAAAGGTTAGAGAGGCAAAATATAAATATGGATAGATTTTGGGGCGTAGTGGTCGTTGGTGCGCGCTCGTCATGTGCAGAGGATCGATCCTGAAGACGGACGGCCCACGTTCGAGTCCAATGGCTTCTTTCCCACACGTCGTTCCCTGCTCTCTTTTCCCATTTCTGGCTCTATCCACTGTCCTGCAGCAAAAGCCCCAAATATTGATAGATTTGATACCTTTATGAAATAGGCATAAATCAAACTATAATGACTTGAGAATTTGGGCATCTTCTCATGTTTTTCTGAATTAACGAGCTCATTATCTCAGAACACGAGTTACGGGGTGTTTGGGTTTCTCGGGGCCTCAGTCGTACTCCGCGGGGAGCCGATATTTTCAGCAACGCCCTGATTGTCTCTTGAGTCAGCATGTAGCCGGCCTGAATCCATTTCAGATGCATCGTTATATCAGTAAGCCTAGCCTAGCCTAGCCTAGCCTAGCCTAGCGAGGACTGAATATAGAGGGAATCTCTAACCTCTAATTAAAATAAATAAATATATACCAGAGGTTCCCAACCTTCTTTTGACTTCACAAAACTCTGGAGACTCCGGACATCCAAAAACATATAGCCTACAGCGTTTTGCTCAAATGAGGTTTACAATCATGTAATAGTTTTTGTGTTGCAACTAAACATTCATTCATAAACACACAGTTAGGCTTTTTGGTTTTATGATCGACAGAGGAAGAAAGGCTGGGGTGACCCTGATGCACGATGGATGACAGACACACAGAGACTCTGCACGTTTTCTTATTTATCTTGTTTGGTCTGATGTCCCACAGTAGCCTGTGTTCAATATATTTAGGCTAATATACAATAAATACAAATCTCAGGGACCCCATGTGTGATCGAGACCTCAAGGTTGGGAAAGCCTGATTAACCTAAAAGCAAAGGCTCCTTTAACTGCAATGCCTGAACACAACGTTTTTAAATACAAAATATCCCACTGAAAATGTTATTAAGGATTATGTGTTAGCTGTTATGTGGCTAAAGTTAGCCATATTTCTGTGCTTGTACAGGGCGGTATTAGTCTAGCTTAGAGATAAAAATGTGACTTCGTGTAAATAAATGATCTTAAAGGCCTAAGGTATGTGGAAACTTCCCTCCAGTTTAGTAGCTCACACAAAGCCAGGCTCGTAAAGGAGGTTTCAGGGTGGATGAAATGACCAGCAGTCGAATACCAATCCAACAAATTTGGGATGAACTGGGAATCAGATCTCAGTGATATTGTGTCCAAATGGGAGAAAATCCTTAAAGATTAAGAGCCGTGTTTTTGAATGACCTGTTTTAAAAAATCAGACTACATGGGCTGTGCATGCTCTGGAATCCATTTACTTTTGGTTCTGTGGGTTTTATTAGTCGCCCGGTGGTCTATTAGGTCAATTTATCGGGTAATATGTCGCTTTATAAGACCATTCAGTGTTATCAGACTCAGATAAAACTGTACCCTCTTGTTTTTTGTTTTTTTTAGAGGGGGGGGAGGCAGATGCTCTCAATCTTTCTCTCTCTCTCTCCCCCTCCCTCCATTTTTAGAAGAGGAGGATGAAAGAGGACAGAGCTGGAGCTGAGGATGTAAAAACCTGGATCATCTGACTCCCTCTCTTTTAGAGGACCACCCCCCTCCCTCTTTCCTCCTCTCTCCCTCTGACTGCGCCCAACTTCTCTCCCTCCATCCTCTCAGATACTGTATCCATCCTCCTGACTGCACCCAGCGCACACTAAAACCCTGAATCCAGAGGGTTTCGGATGTTGCTCGGCTCCGGTTTTGGACTATTTATATTTGAAGAGTAATAGCCTATTACCTCTGGAGAGAGAGAGAGAGAGACAGAGAGAGAGAGAGAGAGAGAGAGAGAGAGAGAGAGAAAACGCGATTGGTTTTGCTGCAGAAAAAAGGACGCACCGACCTCCGCATCCCCCGCAGCATCACTCCTCTTCCGCAGCATCCTTTCATGGACCTCCAGAGGAGAGCACCACGGACCGGGCTGCGCACGCAAAAGAAGCCGGCTTACAGCGTTCGATATCCGGACAAACATAGTCTCATGCATCGGTGTTTTGCTATGGAGGTCTGGGCTCACATCGGGTAAATGTCCGCTGATTTAAAAAAAAAAAAAAAAAAAAAAAAAAAATAGAAAACTGCGCCATTTATCCTACATCTAACAGCTGCAAGGTATTGTTTTTCGGTTTTCTCAAAGATATGTTTCATGTCTATTCATTTATTTCTACTCATTATTTTTGCTTTAGGCCTTTAAAAAAAAAAAAAAAAACCTCCATCAGCTCCTTTCATCGGCGCTAAATCTAGTCCTGCAAAATCCGCAGTGTGCCTTCGTGCTCTGCGGAACTTCTTATTTCTGTCTTTTTTTTTACTGAAATATCATTAATAACCATCATACACAACCAAATCCAGCTTTAAAAATGCAAACGAAGTCTTTTATTTCGATATTCTATGCTGCATTATGGTGTCCTAATTACATTTAAAAAAAACTAAATGTTTTATTTATTCTAATGTAATGCTCATGTCCCGTTACAGTATTCATATTTCGAGTATCCTATGTATTTGTTTGTGCTCTATTATTGCAGAATGTTTTAATATAGGCTTTAATACACACGCCCGACCCCCACAAAGGCAGCCCCCCCCTCCCCCCTCCTCACCCCCCTCCCCCTCTGCATTTTAGCCTACATGAGCTATCTGGGTCATTAGCATTTCAGCGGTTAATGAGGCTGCAGATGGGTCCATCTCCCCCCCCCAACCCTGCCGAAGAGCCTATGAGCAGCACGGATGCCTTCACTGCTGCTGCAACTAGATTAAAATTAAATTAAAGACAGAAATAAAAGAAACATGAGAGGATGTTTTTTTTTTCCTTCTTCTTTTTTTTGGAGCTGTCAGGATTGTGTACTCATGTGGGATGAGGAGGAAAATCGCAGCAGCAGCTTCCTCCCCTGCAGCTGTGTCATTAATGCAGTGGTGTATAAGAACGTGCATTATGGCTGCTGCTGCTGGA